GCTGTCGTATTGGATATTTTAGAAAGATGGAAGGTAATAAATAAATAATGATGATGATTCTAGAAAAAAATACTACGAATATATACATACATACATATATATATATATATATATATATATATATATATATATATTAATTTATTTATATATCCGTCTTTCTTGTTATATATATATATAACAACTCTTTTTACAGAATGATTATTTGCTTGATATTCATTTGCATTATCATGTTGAGACACTTTATGACGAGATTAGGAAGAAGGCGTTAGTACAATATTTCAGCCCATTTCTTACTATTGATATGAACAAAATGGCCAAATCTTTTGTGACTAATGTTACAAGGTTAGAAAAAGAACTTGCCAAATTAATTACCGAGAACAAGATTCAAGCAAGAATAGATAGTCATAAAAAGATTTTGTGTGCTAAACAACAAGATCAACGAAGTGGAATATTTTATAAATCTTTGAAAATGGGTAAAGAATTTGAAGAAAGCACCAATGCAATGTTACTTCGTATGAATTTATTGAAAGCAAATCTTGTCATACAAACTAATCACCACCATCACAAGTAAGTTTAATAATTGTTATGATGATATAATAATAATGTAATGTGTATCATATTAATATATTATGTTGTTATTATTATAGAGGTTTTGATAATAGAAGATTTTACTATGGGTACTCTGATAAATAGATATATATTTTATATATAATTTAAATTAATTAAAAGTTAAAAATAAATAAATAAATAATTTATATATATATGTATGTATGTATATATATATATATATATATATATATATATATATATATATAGGATATCTTATTTCTAATTATCTATCTAGCTATATAAGATATTACATAACAATGAAATTTATATTAGAATAGTCATCTTTTAGAGTAACATTAGAATGTATAGGTTTTGCTTTAAATAATTTTATTTATACAGACTCTCATGCATGTATGAATACATTTTTTTGGATATTTCAGATTAGTCTTGATTTAGGATCCAGAAACATAACTATTTCATAAAGAAAATTCATAATTATGACAGAATGTTGGATATAAATTGATAGGTTTATTGGTTGATACAATTGTATTGTTTAATGACATATAAACATGTAAATAATTTGAAACTACAACATTGCACATAATAATGAGAAATTTATATTAGAATGAAATTCATTTGAACCCTGAAATTCTTGGTAGTATGTGAGTCACACTAACACTTTAAATAAAAATTGATCAACTTTAAAGCTAGATAAGTGTTTTTATATATCACATATAAAATTTTCTCGACAATAGGTTCTAGAACTAGTCAATAGCTATCAAATATCATCTCTATTTTTTTTTTCAGACAAGCATTTAATATTCCCTATTTAGATTTAAAGTTATTTGATGTGTTAGGGTGACCCGCACCATACAAATTAAAATGTTCATTTTATTGCAGTATGCCCCAAATGTGCATCATTAGAATCTCTTTTCTCCCTTGCTCTGTCACTCGCAACAATAAAATGTAGATCACGTCAAACATAAGAAACAACAGTATCATTTTCGTCAATCCAAGTA